GTCTTGCTCCATATCTGCAACTAAGAACTATATGTATTAAGAGCCAGTTTGGTGTAGTAGCTAAGGTGCTAGGCTAGAAATCGGGAGACTGTGATTTCCAATCCTCTCCTAGACAAGAAAGCAAGCTGGGTGATTTTTTGGGGGGCCGGTCACTCTTTCTTAGCCCAACTCACCTCACAGTTTATTATTTTATTTTATTTTATTTTATTTTATTTTATTTTATTTTATTTTATTTTATTTTATTTTATTTTATTTTATTTTATTTTATTTTATTTTATTTTATTTTATTTTATTTTATTTTATTTTATTTTATTTTATTTTATTTTATTTTATTTTATTTTATTTTATTTTATTTTATTTTATTTTATTTTATTTTATTTTATTTTATTTTATTTTATTTTATTTTATTTTATTTTATTTTATTTTATTTTATTTTATTTTATTTTATTTTATTTTATTTTATTTTATTTTATTTTATTTTATTTTATTTTATTTTATTTTATTTTATTTTATTTTATTTATGTACATGACTCTGGACAGCTAACAATTAAATACAGAATAAAAACAATAAACAAAAGTATAAATAACATAAATAGCAGTCGAGCAACCAACTTAGAACAACACTAACAATCAACCCAGTTAACATCCCAAGAAACGGGTTCACCCACACCATAAGGGACCAGGTTTGATGGTTGTTGTTGTGAGGAAAAGAGGATGCAGGAGTATTAGGCATATAAGCCATCCTGAGTTGACCAAAAATAAAGGTGGGATAAAAATTAAATGAAGAAATAAACTGTACTGGCATGGTAGTCCAATCCTTAATGAAAATCACCTTGTCCTGATTATACTAATTCTAGCCCTGGCAAATGTGACTTACATAAAGTAATTAATAGAGCATGAAGTGTTGTGGTTAGTGAAGAAACATTGTGTTATTCAATGTAGGTAACTGAGCTGGAAATAAAACTGGGATAAGCAGAAATAAACGTTGCTTTTCTATGATCCATCATGATCTTCTGCAATAGTGTGCAGGAAAAATGGGTTCTGCTGTGGGTGTAACAGCTTTAGGACAACCATGAACAAAGATCCCATAATTTTTAAGTAGGTTAGACAGGTACCTTAAGGCTATCTCCACCCTTAAATGTGGAAATGTTCTCTAGGTGGGCAGGAGATAAATATAAGAATATAGATGACATAAAATCAAAAGAAAGAGCTTCTGTTAGCTGAGTGAAGTGACTGAAGGCAAAAGAAGTTTTTCCAAAACTAGTAAGCAAAAAGGAATATGGTTTATGTTTGTGTGTGTGTGTGTGTGTGTATGTGAAGGGTGGGGAGGTAATGGAAACTGCCTGTCAATACTTTCATTATTGTCATTATTCTGCTGAGATCAAGGCATCTTGCATAAAGCAAAGATGTCACAGATAACTGGTGGTCTTCCAGGCACTGATGAATTACAACTTCCAATATTACACCATTGCTATTGTGGTTGGATTTTCTCAGGCTATGTTGTTGCAGTTCTTTTATCAGGGATGGTTGCAAGCAGACAAGACATATGGCTTTTTTTACCACCCTCCCCCCCCCCAAAAAGGCCATGTTATACAATGATGTATAAAATACTCAGGTTAACAAAAATTTAATTTGCCATTCTTCTATAGAAGAGATTATTTCTGATTTTCAATATATAAAGCTGATGATTTGATGGAAATATAAGATTTGGTTGTGCTGAGCAGAAAATCAGCTGTTTGAAAGAGAATTGAACCTTTGATGGATAACAATTCTTTCATTGTATGATAAAACATCTTCCAGAATTGTTGAGCTTTGCAGTTTGCCACCAAATATGAAAGAATTTTTGAAATAATCTTCAACCAGATTATTGGACTTCAATAATTTTTAGAAAATGAGTTATCTATTTTAGCAATCAGTACTAGAACAATATACCAACTGTAAAATATCTTGTACTACTATAATATTCACAGGAAATTCAATATTTATCTTCTATTGGTATTCCTATTATTCCATAACAATTATTTTGTTTGCGTTCTGTATCCATACAGTCTTTAACTTATCCAGATTCTGCATCATATTTCACTAACTATAAATAAACCCCAACAAATTTCTGAGTTTTGTGGTAAGGTTTTTTGAAACTTGGTCAATTTTCTAAATCTTCCACCTTGCTCTTTCTCATTCCTTTAGAATTGTGCTGCTTGTTTAAAGATATTAAAACAAACAAATTGCTTCTAACCATTCAGAAAGAATCTCCAAAGATTTCAGCTTTGTTTTGTTAATGATGAGGATTTTCAATATATATGAGTTATTCTCTCTCCATTTGTCAGATTTTATTCTACACTGATCTTTGTGAAAATAAATATTTAATACTGAAGCAATAGATAACACATCTAGGCTAATTCTTTTTCTGTATTTATCCCATACTTTTAATATGCTGCATATAATTGAATGATCTCATATATGTTGTGTGTTTCTGTTTATACTGAGCCAAAGATTTATGCAAACCATCTGGAAGCCAATAGAGGCAGCCCAGCCAGCTTCATAATACAGTCTGAAATTTGGAATTGCCAATTTACCTCACTCTTTCAGGTCATGTAAAATCTTAAGTTTAATCCTTGATTTTTTATCGGACCTGTGGTGGTATAATAAAATTAAATATATCAAATCATGTTAAAACATATACACCCATTTTATGTAGCTAATAGGCAGCAGTATATTTGGATAACCTAGTGCCTAGTAATGTGGCCCTGGACCAGAGCCCTGAGTATAGCAACTCCTCAGATTATATATATTTGGTTAATTACATTTGAAACAGAAAAGTAAAAGGAATAATACAACTGCATTGCAACCTTTCCTCTGGAATGCTTTGACAAGCTATTGAAATGACCTCCCTGTTACCCTACTTGCAGGTAGTTTAGATAAACCAGACAGTTGTCTTCCTAGGAGGAGGAATGGAATGATGTAAAAGGAGACCATAAAGTAAACAATGTTGTTTATTGCAAATGTCAATAATATCAAGAAGTCTACTGCAAGTAGGGTAACAGGGAGGTCATTTCAATAGCTTGTCAAAGCATTCCAGAGGAAAGGTTGCAATGCAGTTGTATTATTCCTTTTACTTTTCTGTTTCAAATGTAATTAACCAAATATATATAATCTGAGGAGTTGCTATACTCAGGGCTCTTTCTCCTGCTGTCTGCTGGTGGGGAGTCCAGTGAACACTGTAAACACATTCCAATAAAGTATAGTTTGTTGCATCTATCTCCAAATAGTGTCTCCTTTAGGTAAGCAGATTTCTCACAAGTGACTGATTAAAGTTGGTGATTTGTCTCTGCCAGTTGTTTAATACCTTGTCTCCAATTCTTATTGAAATCATTTCAAGTAATAAGTTAAGCCTTGATAAAACATTCATATTTACTGCAGATATTCTTCCTAGGACAATTCTGGTTTTCTTTGCCTTAAAATATCTGCTATTATGTGAAGAATTATTCTTAATAAATCCTTATAATTTTTTGTTAAATACATTCTCAGGTACATTACTTTTCTTCTTCAGGGAAATTCCATGCAATAACTTAGTGTTCCAATATCAGTTCTAGAGCATTCCTTGAACATGTAATATCATCTGCATATAGTTTTAGTGTTCTTGATTTGCCAGTTTAATTCCTGAAATGTTATTTTTTTATCTTATCTTCCTGGCCAATGGTTTTAGTGCCAGTAGAAGTAAGGAAAGAGCAAGGTAACAGCCTTGTATGGTTTCCTTTCTTACGATACAGATAGTCCTCAACCTATGACCATTCATTCAGTGACCATTTGAAGTTACAACGGTGCTGAATGAATAGTGGTTATGACTGGTCCTTGGAATTCTGACCATCCCAGCACCCCCATGGTCACGTGATCACGATCTGGGTGCTTGGCAACCAGTTTGCACTTACGACCAATTGCACCACCCCATGATCACATGATTGCCATTTGCAGGCTTCCTTGTAGGCTTCCCCAGAAAGTCAATGGGGAAGGTGGCAGGGAGGGTCCCAAGTAGCTGGGGTAAGTCGCCCCACCTGTGCACCCTTCCCCAGCCACTCTGCACTCATGCCATGCTGGCCACTTGTGCACCCCCGCACACCCTCCCCAATCCTCCCTTGCACCCTTACACACCTTCCCCAACCCGTGCCACGGCTCTTGCTCACCCCCCACATCCTTGTGCACCCTGCAGTGAGGTAGAAATTTAATAAATGGATAAAAGTAAGAGAATAATATTAAGCACATTAATTTAGAAGTAATTTCCACTAATCTTGGAGGCTTGGTGCCAAGTCGTCCTGTTTAGGATTTTAGCCGAGGTCAAATAAATACATTGTGCCTTATTAGGAAAAGCCATTTATAATCAATTTTGTAATGAGTATTTAGAAAAATTCTGAACAAATTGGATCCACAGAGTTGGTTTTTCAACATAATCATTATTTTCCAGCATTCTTTTCCATTTTTTAATTTTTCAGCAAAACTAGTTTTATAGGAAAACAACTATGCATGTTGACTTATATAATTCAAGAAACCAATGAAAGTGTGTGTGTGTGTGTGTGTGTGTGTGTGTGTGTATTTATGGGAGAGAGAGACAGAGAGGATTACATAGGACCCTATGAAAAATTAAGTGCAATAAAATAGTTTAAAATGATGAATTTAAATTTAAAAGAATAATAATGGATTTGTCTGTGTTCATAAAACAAGGTGATAAATAACATCATCTCCCTCCCACAAAATAAATCATTATTGTTTTCTCTCTTTTTTTCTGTTTCTTTGACATGAATGAAATGAAAGCTACCATGTTGGATACTTCTGAGTATGAATATATGACATGGTTTCCTCTCGTGCTAAAAGACTGGATTGGCTTTGGTTACTTGGAGGACTCTTTGAGCTCTGTACTTCAGCTTCTGCTGCTATTATTAGTATTTCTTCTGTTTATATATTATGTAGCTTTAAGCATTATTTTAGTTTGCTATGCTTGCGCATTTTATTTATATATTTGGAAGAAAAAGTATAACATACATGGAGACATTTATAATGAGTTATGGAGCAAACCAAGGCAAAGGATGGCAAATGTTCTGGATTTATACGGAAAGATATGGCATGGTAAGTGAGCAGTTCCTTAAATAGTCACAAGATAATCAAGAGGGTAAGCAATTAATTCTAGCCAGAGTCTCCACTTGTATGTGTCCCACATTACCCAATATTTTTGTGAAATAATGTGCTGTATGAAGCTTGTAATATCCATCTGCTCTTTGCATCAAAATTGGTGCCCCTTTTAAATATAGTGATGACAATATAGTATAATATAGTCATGAGAGCCAGTTTCATGTATTGGTTAAAATCACTGGATTAGAATCTGGGAGTCGGAGAGTTCTAGTCCCACCTTAGGCATAAAGCCAGCCAGGTGACCTTGGCCCAGTCACTTTCTCTCAGCCCTAGGAAGGAGGTAGTGGCAAATCGCTTCCAACAAACCTTGCCAAGAAAACTGCAAGGACTTGTCCAGGCAGTTGCCAGGAGTCAACTCTGACTCAAAGGCACCAAAAAATTTTTTTAAAAAAGGTAAGATACCTGGAGACGTTACAGTGAATGCCCTGCTTGTGTAGGATGACAACTCAGCCTGTATGAAAGGTTCAAATTCCAGCTTTCTTTACATTGCACCAAGACCTGTCCCTGCTATCTTTCACAGACAACAACATTTGGGACTGTTCTTTGGGAGGAACTGTGGAAAAGCAGTATTGTGTGGGGGTGGGGAAGGAGGGAAAAACTATGCTTTACTGTTTATTGATCTTTTTTATCAAATTTATACTCATCACAATCAAGTGTACCCTTAGCAGATTGAATTACTTGAGAGCATTAAACAAAAACAGTTCCTACTAAAAACATTCTGGGTATACATGCAAACCAATAAAACCACAAGAATCATAATAAACTACATGTAATCATTCAAATAAGGGTGCTCTATCGTTCACCATAAGCTTCTGAAATACTTCCTAACTCTAAGAATGGCAAGAACATGTGGCAAGCCTATTTTCCAAAGGGAGGCTATTCCAAAATATAGGCACTATTGAAAAGCAACACCTATGCACCTCAGATGCCTGATCTCCACTTCATAGGAGTATAGCAACTCTTCCCACAGACACTCAGATTGGGTGTCTAATGTAGTTGGGTGTCTAATGTAGTTGGAGATTTTCTTGCAAAAGCTTTATTGCCAAGCCACATAGAGCTTTTTATGTAACAAGCAGCATTTTGATTTTGTACCCAGGAGCTAGAGGGGGGCAAGTACAGAAGCCTGAACCATTGGTGTAATGTGCTCATGGTGATAAGTGCTAACCAACAGCCAGGCTGCTGCCTTTTTGACCACTGAAGCTTCTGAGTGGTTTTCATATAGACTGCATTCTAGAGAAGGAGTGATGAAAGTATCTGTCAGAATAGTGAGGTCTTCCTGTTCCAGGCAGGACTGTAGCTGCTGTATCAAAGGCCTGCCTAACCCTTACCTTGCCCATGAACAATAACTGTGAGTCTGGAAGGACCTACAAATCATGGACCCTTCACATTCAGGGGTAATACCATCCCATAAAGAAACAACTCTGAAGCAGTCAGAGAACCTCAAGAAGTTCAAAACAATAACTCCATCTTGCTGGGATTCAACCTCACCCTCTTTGTCCTATCCAGATCTCAGCTAAGTTCAGATACTTGGTCATATGAGACAGAGAGAGAGAGAGAAGGAGAGGGAGGGAGAGAGCTATTCTTACAAACTATTACATTTTTCAAGAAAGTAAAGAAGTCTAATTTTTATTTTTATTTATTTATATTTATTTATGTAATTTCTATAGCCACCTATCTCAAACCAAGTCACTCTGGGTGGCAAACCATTCCAATATTAATACAAATAGAAGTTTTAAAAAATGTAGAAAAATAGATAACAAAGATAATAGTAGCTGAATAAAAAGCCAATTTAAACAGTAAAATAAGGGTGAATAGCCAATGAATCTCAGATACACCATTAGGAACTTAGAGTACTATAAAACATTTCATGCCCAATTTCTAGTCAAAATGTGTCTCTATTAAACTTTTAAAATATTTGGTTAACACAATTAGAATCAGTAATGGGAAGGAAAAGAAGTTATAAACAGTGAACAATATATTAAGGCGATACTGTAGTTAACATAAAGACTATATGTCAAATTTAAGTATAAATTCCAAAGCCAAAATTTCAGATATGGCACATTCCATGCATGAAAGTTTAACCTAAAAACAGTATCACCATCTTGCTGGGATTCGACGTGACCCTGTTTTGTTCCATCCAGATCTTAACTAGGTCCTGATACTGGGTCATAATATTAAGGAGCTTTTTGCACAGCTTAGGAGTACTGATACACAATTGGGTAACATAACAATGCTGATGATACCAGACCCCAAACTGACAGATTACCTCCACGAGTAGTTTTATGTTAAAGAGTAGAGAAGAGGAACTGAACCCTGAAGGACTTTATGAGGAATGGGTGCCAGGCTAGCTTCTTTTCCCTCACCACTCAATGACCTGAATTGCCCCTTAAGAAAGGAAGGGGTGGAATCTTTCCAGAACAGTGCCTCCAATCCCCAACAAGTGCCTCCTATCCCCAACCAGTGCAGATTGTCCAGAAGGATACCATGTTCAATAGTATCAAAGGACCAGGGATGTACTATCTCCTTCCAACGCCAGACAAAGGTCATCCACAAGAGCAACCATCCCATGCTGAGGCCTGAACCCTGGCTGAAAGGAGATCAGAGAATCTGTTTCATCTAGAGTGTTCCATAGCTGACCCACAATCACCTTTTCAGTACTTTCCTTTTAAAGATAAATTAGAGGCTGGGAGATAGTTGTCAAGAATGGCTGGGTCCTGAGGATGGAGCACACCTAAACTTCTTTCAAGGTTACAAATACCAACTTTTCTTACAAAGAGCACTGAGTACCTCAGAGAATGAGCCCCTACACACACCCACATCTCACACAGGAGCAAGAAGGTGCACGGCTCAAATTCTCAGGTGTTCAACAACATACCAGACAGCAATCTATCCACTTCATCAAAGTCCACAGCCAAAATGAATCCCAGGGCAAGATAGCACCACAGTCAGTATTTTGGACTCTGCTCATGAAGAGTCAAGACATTATTGAATCCAAGTGACTTTACAGGAAAAGTAATGTACAAACCAGTCACAGCAACCAGCCAGAAGATCTCCCTATTGCCCTCTCCAAGCAGCATGCCACAAGAAATTTCACTTCACTTTTCATGATGGCAGAGGCTGAAATTGAAGCTTGTGGCTATTCTTGGCAAGATTCATTAATGATGGAAACACCAAAGAATCACTAAATCAACTTTCCTTACCTGCCAGATATATTACAGCATGATTCCCAGTATTGCCAGAGAGATTTTGGTCATGCTGCCTGAGATTGCTGGTAGATGTCACAACATATCTGGGAAGTATCTGGTTGAGAAAAACTACCCTACATCTTCTGCACTATATATTTTCTCTTTTCTAAATGAACTTGTTTTATCTCCATGTAACCTCAACAAACAAAAAAATAATCTACTTTTTTCAGGTTATGAGATCATTGGCATGGAGCATCTACCAGAAGGACCAGGATTGATTATTTATTACCATGGAGCAATGGTTTTTGACTATGTCTTCTTTGTAGCTAAACTCTATGCAAATACTGGGAGAATAGTCCATTCTGTGATTCATTGTTTCCTTTATTTAATACCAGGTAAGGTATTTTAACTTTATATTTAGAATTACAGGTAGTCCTCATTTAGTGACTGCAATTGGGACCAGCAACTCAGTGGTTAAGCGAAGAGGATGTTAAGTGAAAGCATGACTGTGTTTATGATCTTTCTTCAGCTTTCCTTTGCTTTATGGACCTGCAAAGGTCGTAAATGTGAAGACTGGTTGTAAAGTTACTTTTTCATCACCGTCATAACTGTGAATGGTTGCTGTACAAGGAAGTTGCTGCAGAGCATTGCAAATTACCCTAAATATTTTAAAAAATCATTTTTCTAGTGTGATGCCAGTGACTAACAATGAGCATGTCTTAAAAGGAATGCAAGATGTTTTTAAGGGAGCATTGGATCTTTGCAACTTGTGATCCAGAAAATCAGCTATAACCCACTAGTTTTAGTTTGTTATCTCCTGCTTAGGGGATGTATCATTTAAATCCTGGTGATCTGTATTCAGCATGCCAGGCAGTTCTAACCTAGCCATGTAACCTAGGTCAGCACCTAGGTTTCCAGGTTGACAAATCTGGTCAGCACCTAGGCTCCAGGTTGACAAATAGCTAAGGTATGCTTTATGCAAAGGATGGCAAATCTAACACCTCTTTAATGCTAGGCTTCACAGAAAAGCTGCCAATCTTTCACACAAGGAGTGTCTACAAAAGTTTCAAGACATATGTGTATGTGACCTCATAGATGTGACTGAGAAGCAGTCTTTCTTAGTCTACGACATCAGACTAAGAAGGTTTATGTGTATGGAGAAGCTGATCTATTAAGGAAAGGGCCACAGGGGCCATTTCAACTAACAGAAGACTTCCTTTTTGAGAAAAAGGCACTTCTGAAATACCTCATTCACTTTACCCCTAGAAGTGCAGGAAGAAATAATAAAGAGAATATCTCTTTTGCTGGAAATTCTGATTCTCTCTCAGAAAGAGAAGAGTTTGATTTCAACTTCTTGGTTTAAATATACCTAAATTTGTTCCTATGGTTGGGGAGGAGGGTGCAGGGTTTATAGAAACTGAGCAGGATATTCACCAGATCATGAATGGGACTGGGAAAGAGAAGATAAGTCACACAGAAAATCTCCCTCTGCCCTCCAAAAAGAATTTGACTTTGTTTCACTTTTAGCTAACCCTATGTCAAAGAGCCAGTTTGGTGAAATAGTTAAGGTACTAGGCTAGAAAACGGAAGACTGTGAATTCTAGTCCCATCTTGGGCACAAAGCCAGCAGGGTGACCTTGGGCCAGTCACTCCCTCTCTGCCCTAGGAAGTAGGCAATGGCAAACCACTTACAAAATCTTGCCAAGAAAACTGCAGGGACTTGTCCAGGAAGTCACCAGGAGTTAACACTGATGCAAAGGAACAAACAAACAAACAAAAAATCTCAATGAAGACATGAGCTATGCCATGCAGGGCCACCCAAGACGGACAGGTCATGGTGGAGAGTTCTGACAAAATGTGGTCCACTGGAGAAGGAAATGGCAACC